ACACAACTGTTATGACTTACATAAACAAGCAAGGGGGAACTCACTCCCCGTCTCTTTGTATTTTAACATTGAGAATTTATCAATGGACTATCAGCAACAATATCACATTAACAGCTCAACACATTGCAGAAAGGCAAGACCAACATATTGGCAGATCTTCTCTCTCGGCGGTCCAGGACCCTGCCGACAGAGTGGATGTTGAACAGAATCGTTACTCAGACAGTTTTCAACATGTGGGAACATCCACAGATAGATCTGTTTGCAACACGTTGGAACAATCAGGTTCAAACCTTTGTGTCCCCGTTCCCACTAGCATTCTCAGTAGATGCTCTGAGTCTCAGTTGGCAGGGGATAGTGGGTTAAGCCTACCCTCCAGTGGTCTTAATTCCAAAAGCTCTCCAGAAAATTCAAGCAGAGAATTGCATAATAATTCTAATAGCACCATTCTGGATGAAACAACCATGGTTCCCAACGCTTGTTCAGTTACTGATAGATTACCCCGTAAGACTTCCAAATCGGCCAGATCTTGAAATGTCCGAGGCAAGGCTTGTATTAGCTGATTTACGGGAACAAACGAGGAGCACATGGTTTCATGTTTATTTCAAAATGGCGGGCAGTCATCAACAACAATAATGAGCATGCGCAATACACATACAAATTGGTAACACTAAACACTGTTGGATAGAAACAGCAACCGCCCCAGACTAGTATGATTCTACAAACATTACACTTTTCCCCCCTTTAAGAATATAATTACTGGCTGTAATTAGTATTTAAAGGTAATTTCACTAGAACAAAACATGTTTTTCACACAGTTCATGAAAATCAGTCTTTCAAAATCTGAACACAATTTAACATAATTATACTTTCGGTATAATTTTAACTGTCATTAAATCACTACAGTTGCACAATATAACAGTTCAAGTTCAACTTTTAACTGTCACATGGTTTCTATTAACCTGTTTGGTTTTGAACGTTCACGACGCGGAAATCGCGACTCTGTTGCCATGGATCCAGATTTATCACATGAAGGAATAGATTCCACAGTCTTTGGCATGGTTTCGCGACTCTCATTTGTAATAGAGCGTTTGAGAGTTGGAGATGAAATCATAGATGGAGTGATCGACTCGCTTGAAGGAACCATAGGTGCACGTGTTATCTCTTCGCGAGGAAAATAAGATGGTAAGTCAATGATATCCTGCAAATGCGACTTGTTTTGATAATCATCCACAACACGATCTGGATGACATGCTCTCATCTGATCAATATGTCTTTTCCACTGTAATTCTCCAACCTGTTGTTACACAATAATTACTCCGACACGTGGTATTTGAGTTAAATTTTATTTCTTGCCGTGGTTACACAAGATCCTGTTCAAGTCCACCCCCATCTCCCGCTTAAGTTCCTACTCCCCTCTACAGGCCCGCACTGCCTTGTCTAGCTCCCGAGCTCTAGTCTCCAACCACTCTCATGCTCTTCTCCCGCTACTCTCCTGCTACTGTCTATTGTCTTAGTATTAATAATACCAAAACACTTCAATTCTAACTAAGCCCCGATTGGATGACAATACCCCACCCCGCGAGGCATATAATTATCAAGGCACGTGCAAGCTCATGTAACCTTATCTCAGGGATCCCGATGTACTTTACCGTCCAGTATGCTATCTACTCTGATCGACGATCCATCCCCAGCTATCTCGCTACAGTGGCTAGGTGCGTGAGGCACACCCTTGATATCTAAGGGCTACCAAACTGCCTGTCCATCACAGGACGTTAACCCTGGTCCAGTGCCTGACTTTTGACACCTGTTGTTATTGTTTCCAGAGAACCTGTTGTACTTTAAATTTCTGTTTTAAATTAAATTCTCTAAATTGTATTTCTACTACCCATTTTGTTACATACCTTCCCCACAAAGAATATTAACCAATATTCCTAAAATTAATTAAACAAAATGTGAAAACCAGTTAACTCCCGATCCACACTTTATCCTGGAAGGTTAAGTGATAATTAGTTTAGCCCAGTTCGTCTTTCTTCTCAGTGTCCTATTCTAACGAATAACAAGCATGCAAAATCTTTCACCAGTCAGTAATAATTCCAAAGTTAATATTTCCACATAATCATCCACAACACCGACGTGCCAACAGTACATGTCACTCATGTTAATGGCAATAATCCAGGAGTACACATAGAATTCCTTTACTAAGACACTGCCAATCCTGCTTGTTCCTATTAATAATCCATCAGGTTTAAAAATCCATGGTTTGTAATCACGGTCCATGATCACTGTTTAGGAATCCATCAGGTTAATCACACAGGATGATAGCTGACTATCACTCAACAGCTGTAATTCGTCCTGTGTCCATTTGTTCCCACGAGTAACATACTCCGTGCATCATATATGTACTGAATATAAAGGTTTTCGGAATGGCTATAATTATAGTCCGTGAATGCCACCGTCCTTATACGCAGACGTGTCCTCTACATTTGTCCTCATAGCATCCTTTTCGCACAGTCCTCATTCATGTGAAGGACTAATAATTAAGTTATAATTCATGGACGTTGCATGTTATGTCCGTTATGTGTGGTACATGAGTTGTAGTATAACAGGAGTGTACTTAATGGTTCCTGAAGGCAGTATATGCAGTGCAACGAACATCAGCTGTTCATTGCAGTACCATATAAAAACACACGGGAGTTTATTTTATGTCCATTGAGCCAGATAATAATTCACATTATCCTGGGGAGTATACTTGGACTTAAATACTTATTTACAGTACAACACAATTGTTAATACAATACAGGTTGCGACGTCGTAACGGCTTGAGTACGTAATGTCCCATTAGCACTGGCTTATCACAGCCTAGTTCGCTGCATCGATGTCCACAGCGCGCTGGTTTCTTTCACTGAGGGACCTGGCTTGTCCCTTTCTGATGATGAGGACGTGGCATCCGCGTGTCCTGTAGCGTTGTCTACGCTTCTCGGGTTAACCGGCATCATCTCCATGTCTGGTGAATTTGTGACCTTGGGATCTGACCTCTTACGTAATAGTAATAAAATTTTGCTTTTCAATTTAATTCTCCAAAACAGTATGGCGAACCCGCCAGCTAACACAATGAAGGACAGCCCAATACATACAAAGACCCATGCAGACCATTTACTTCCCGTAGGTATTTTGCGCATCCCCCTTATCTCAGTGATAAGATGATTCATTGGAATCCGATCGATTTCTCTAAGCCTTTTTGGTATTTCAATGGCCTTAAACTGTGGTACAGCCCGTTTAAATGGTTCCCATAACCGAAGATTAATAAAGGTATCATTGTAAGCCAGTATCTGTGTCTCGGTAATGTTATACCTGCTCTCCCGGAAGTAGTATGGGGGTAATATTAAATAGTCACTTGATGCGGAGCATGTCATCTGTAATTGGATGACGCCCATCGGGGGCTTAACTATTACCTTGTGATTACCCGTTTTGGTATTTGGACAAACTACAGCAAACCACCCATCTTCCATCTACAATATACCTAGCCTTCGGTAATATTGATTCTGGTATTACCACCGTCTTACAGCGTTCTTTTATGCTACTTTTGTGGTCCAGAAATAGGGCAACAACACATAGCCGGTTTATGTTTGTGGGGTAGATCGGGCTCTTAACTTCACAATAGCTAAAGCGAGAGTTACCGCATCTGGTTTGCTCTTCCGTATTCAACAACAAGAAGCGAGTACGGTCAGCGTTAACTGCTAACGTGGTCGCCTCTAGATCATAATGAGCAACCATGTCCCCTTTCCTCGCAGGTTCATGATACTTTATACCCACCATTGGGGAAGGAATATTGTGAACTTCATACATATCATATAAACTATCAGAGTCTAGTAGCGGAACACTAATTATTATGACGATCTTGTTTTCATCGAGTACGGTTGTACACGTCAGCGACTTATAGAAATTCCATAATTCTCGCATAGGATCATAAGGTAATTTGAAGTGTGATGGCAAATGAGCGTCAATTTGGAGCAATAACGAACTCAGTTTCGTTGGAGAGATGACACTTGGTGATAAATGACCTAGTGAGAGCATGTTCAGCTGTAACTTCAAATTTTCAAGATAAAACATTCCTGCATCGCATAAATATTTGAGCTCGGCAAGGACCGATTTAAGCTGAGCATGTATCTGTACAAAGTGTTCGAATTCCCGAAACTGCCCTTCCAACACTTTTGTGGCATTCGCTATTTTATGGTCCAGCTCAAGGACATTCAGGATCAGTTTGTTGATTGCTTGTCTATTTTCAGATACCTGAACTCTTGTAATGTTTATTATCGACATGCTGTCTTCGACAACATGGGCGATATGTTCTTGATTCCTTGCCAAGGTGTTAATACCCTGGTGAATAGAGTCAAGGTCATCTTCTGATACAGTACCAAATAGGAAGCTCAATGCCTTCCCTACTATTGGAAGTAAACTGCGTTTATACCGATTATTCATGGTCTTATATTCCAGAAATCCATCTTTAACAGAACTGTAACTGACATTTAAATATTCTAACTCTCTTTTGACTGCGGTTATAGTCTCTTGATACTCGCCCTTTGTATGTAATGTGAATTGTTGTTGAACCCGCGCATTTATGCGCGACGCTTCGGCTAGATCAAGATTTAGCTTTATTTGGAAGTTCTCGAAAGTTCGAAAGTCAATCACGGCCGTTACAAGCCATCGGGAGCGGGTAAATGATAGCTCATGGATCTTATTAAAGATAACATTTTCGTGTACAAGTAGGGATGATCTCACGTGTGGAACCCAACAACCTACCAAACCTACGGCAATTGTCAGTGCATGTATCAGCTTCATGGTGCTTAATTGTTAACGGGTGGAGATCACAGAAAATTTTACGATCAATGCAGGTCACAGATCCCAATTCAATATCTGCAATTACAAAACAATTAATATATATTTACAATCTATTTACAATGGTCAATTAAATGACTTATTAACCTTATTGACACGAAACCTTATATAAGTTTGCTCAACACATCTAACAAGGATTCCGCTATAGCTACTTTGCGTTCACCCTTTTTTGTTTTATCTTGAGAATTTAGGAACCGAGAAACTTGATTGACAGACATAGATTCGTGGTCGCTATCGACATTGTCACTTGCGCTATTGGAACTTGGGGCCTCCACAGGGTTTACGGTACTCCCGTTTGAGTCGGAGGCGGAGTGACTGGAACGATCGGGGGGGCTATTAGAAATTTGGGCTCGTTTCCAACGTTTTGTCAATTCCATCAGGGGGATGTTGTCCTCCCCCGATGAAGAAGACCTTTCCCGACGGAAACGACGGGCAATATCGGCTAGCGGTATATCAGAGTCGGAACTTTCCGAATCAGCGTCCGCACTATCGGTTGGCGGGACAACAAACTTCGCCCGACGTGGTGGACGACCTGTCGGTTTGTGGGGAATCTCCCATTCATCAATTTTAGCAAGGCGAAGGTGTTCGGCGTGGGCCTTAGTAACGGTTCCATCTAATTGATTTCTAATTACAAAGCTTACAGGTGTCGTTTGGGATATAATTCTATAGTACAATGCCCATTTGTTATCCAGTTTATTTTTTCGGAGATGGTTACGATAATGCACGGGGTCACCGACTTTAAATTCAACGGGTTTAGTATGTCTATTAGCATAGCGTTCTTGTCGTTGTTTGGCCCTTTTGAGATTTTTATGGACTAACATAAATGACTTGTGCTGCTGTTCAAGCGCAATTTGATGGAGTTCCTCTCCAACATACTTTCGTCGCGGTTGTAACAGGTTATCAACTGGCAGGACTACGTCTCTGTTATATAACAAGAAAAATGGTGAGAATTTGGAGGATTCACTGATGTTAAAGCGGACAGCTGCCAGCGTCTGATTGAGATATACGTCCCATGCCGTCGTGTCATCGTCAAGTTTTTTTGCCAAAATATCATGTAACGTTCGGTGGAAGCGTTCTACCTTGGCATTACTTTGCGGATGATAAAATGCCGTCGTTAGGTGGCTGATATTCAATACTGCTAAAGTTTCTCTCATAACCCTATTTTCATTTTCCGTCCCGTTATCAGTAACAATTTGTAATGGTGCCCCATATCGTGGAAATATTTCTTCAATTAAAAGATGGGCGATAGTTTCCGCGCTTTTGTCAGGTACGGCAAAGGCTTCGGGCCAACCGCTATACCAGTCTACAAAACTGACAATGTATTTGTTTCCCGATAACGACCTGGGGTAAGGACCTGATAGATCTAGTCCTACCTTTGCAAAAGGAAACGGCGGTATATCTGTTTCCTGTAATGGGGGGGGTTTTCGTTTCTGTAGGCTTCTTTTTTTGGCATGGAACACAATCAGATATGTAGGAATAGAGCTTTTTGTACAGGTTTGGCCAGAAATATTTTTGTTTAATTGCCTCATAAGTTTTATCTATGCCCATATGCCCGTTTTCATCATGATACTGTGTAACTACCTTGCCACGCAAGTGCTCCGGAACATATAACCTCAAGGTTGTCTTATTATCTGGGTCAGTTATGTAATACAGTACTCCCTCTACTAGCATGTATTTCCTATGTATCGCCTTACTGTCATCAGCTTCAGTCAGTTTTTGTATTAAATCAGCTATTGTCTCGTCCTTTGGCTGTTCCTGTCTCATATCGAGATCTAGCAAGGTCGGGCTCTGGATGTCAATGTCAGCGTCACCCGCTATCTCACAACTAGCAAAATCCTTGGGATCGAACTGATTGGAATTCAAGACCGCTATTTCAAAAGTTTTATCCGTAATGTCGGGGCAGTCATCGTTGGGGTTTGTATCGTCCTCTGTGGTGGTCTGTCCTGGGGACCTTGATAAGAGATCAGCACAAGTATTTTCTGTCCCGGGGATATACTCTACTCGACAGTTGTAGCCTGATAAACTTAACGCCCAAAGTTGGATCTTCCTATTTTGCATTGGAGAGTCTAATATGTACTTTAAGGGTTTATGGTCCGTTCGAATAACAAATTCCGCGTTGTGTAAATAATGGTCTAATTTTTGCAAGGCGTAATGAATGGCATAGGCCTCCTTTTCTATGGTGGACCATCTAGTCTGTGTATCGCTCAGTTTGTGAGACAGAAAGTAAATTGGCCTTTCATTCTTAATGTTTGGCAAGAAGGCCTTTTCCCCTATTGCCGACTGTGTGAGACACGCGCCGATGCATCTGTCACTAGCATCTGTGTACAGAATGTATGGTTGATTGATATCAGGATAAGCAAGATAAGGTATTGCCGTGAGACTATCCTTTAAATATATAAAAGCTTTTTCACATTCCTGAGTCCACTTAAATTTCGCGTATTTCCTTGTTAAAGCTATCAGTGGCTCCGCGATGTATGAAAAGTTAGGGATAAATCTGCGGTAGTAGCTAGTGCACCCAATAAATCCTCGTACTTCCCGTACGTTTGTTGGTGCAGCCATTGCTCTTATAGCCTCAACCTTTTGCATATCCGGCATAACACCACCTTTGTTGATAGTAAATCCTAAATATTTCGTTTCGGTCTGGGCAAAAAAACATTTCTTCAGCTTAAGTCGCAAGTCATGCTGACGGAGTCTATTAAAGACAATCCTAATATGTTCCAGATGTTCCTCTATTGTGGGGGAAAATATTAGTATGTCGTCCAAATACGCTATGGCCATATGGTCTAACCCTCGAAGAACTATTGACATAAGTTCGGAGAACACCGCGGGTGCATTACTCAGTCCGAATGGCATAACGTTAAATTCAAACAAGCCTTTATGGCAAACGAATGCAGTTTTTCTCTCGGTCTTTTTCGTCCATTAGTACTTGCCAATAGCCCGATTTTAAGTCTAGAGTGGTAAAGTAATGTGCCTTACCTAGCAGGGCCAAAATATCGTCTATAAGCGGTAATGCATAAGAAAAGGGTTTGGTTATTTTATTAAGCTGCCTAAAGTCGACGCAAAACCGTTTTGTACCGTCCTTTTTGTCTACGATAACTATGGGAAATGACCATGGCGACTTCGACCTCCTAATAATGTTTGCCTCTAACATATCCTCTACGGCTTTGTCAACTACCTCCCGTTTACGCAGGGGGGTCCTGTAAGGTTTTAGTTTGATGGGCCCCTTACTTCCCGTGTCTATTTTCATGGTCACTGTGTCTGTATGGCTCAAGTCTCTGTCACTGTCTACAAAAAGGTCCCTATTGGTGTGAATCAACTCTGTGAGTACGCCCCTATGCTCTCGTGTTACTTTAATTTCCCCTAAGTTGTCCTTAGTTACGGTAGCCGCCACAGATTTTGTTGACCTAGTATGAGTCTCAACGAGATTAGCTTGACCTAGGGATTCAGTCCTGCCAATTACACAACCGCGTTTTAGTTTATAATATTTGTTGGTATTATTAACAATCATAATGGCCAAGTGTCCACGGCTCGACACTTTTGTCACGGCATTACCGACCATGAGGCCAGGTTCGGTGCTGATGTAACCTGAATCCACAGGTTTTACCTGCAGTAGCTCTGCAGTTCTACGGTTTGCTGGTCCTACCCTACCAAGACATAAGGTAGCTGTTTGTGGTTTCAGACCAACATTTTGCCTTAGGCGCACAAGTGATGCAATATGGATATCTTCCTCTAGTGGGATGTATTGATTCCGGAATCGTAAGGAACCTAGATCAAAATACAACCTCACGCCATTGTCTGTCAACCAGTCTCTGCCTAAGATAAAATTTCGATTCATGTCTGTGACCACATGAAATAACTGGGTTACCGTGGTATCTCCTAATTTAAATTTTATATCAACACAACCTTCTACCGGCAATGTGTCCCCATTTACCGATTGTAGCTGAATTTTTGGCTTCCTAATAACAGGGAATGGCTGTAAATGCCCCAAAACGCGCTTATGTACTAGCGAGACCTCTGCCCCCGAGTCAACTAAAGACCTATATCGCTGTTTCCCAATTTTTATTACACATGAACTCGGACTCCCTGCCAAATGTATCTTGCAAACTTTACTCTCCCCAGCGGTTTCATTCAAGGGAGAGCTACCTAGTTTTTTCTTTGTCTATATTGAGGGCACTCTCGTTGAAAATGGCCCCGATTCCCACAAGCCCAACAGAGCTGCTGATATTGGCGCGGACCAGCCCCAGTTCGACGTGTTTTCGACCTACATTCCTTAGCAATGTGCCCCGTCCTGTCGCAGTTGTGGCATTTACGGGTAGCTCTGCTATGTCCTACATCCATTGGCACTGCCGCAAGGCTAGTGTCCATGGGTTCCACATGCCTACCCTTGGTTACGGTATTAGTACGGAGCTGGAATCGCCGTCGCAAATTTTGTTCGGCCATAGCTACGTTCACCGCTTCCCGTAATGTTGGCGGATTTTCTCGCATTACCTTCATCTTTAAGCTATCATTAAGTAGCCCATCTACAAAGAATCCGACCAGTTGCTGCTCTACGGCTGGATTGCCCCTTTGCATGTTAGCATAGGCCTCATCGGCCAAAGCCAACAGTTTTTCGGCAAAAATCTGGACGCTGTCGTCCGATTTCTGCTTGGCTTTCCGCAGCAGAACAAAAGCATGCTGTGGATCGGTTATCTCCGAAAATCGGGAGGCAAGCTCTGCCTTAAGCTCTGCCCAAGTTCCCTGGGGGTTTTCTTCAACGTAACGTTTCACAAAATCTCCCACTGGGCCCTTACTAGCTTGGTACGCTACTAATTTTATTCTATCAGCAGCTATCCCGGTTAACGTAGCATATTTTTCTATCGATCCTACCCACTCTTTAAATTTCTTCGGGTCCCCCTCATAGCTGTCTACTGCGCCTGCAATCCCCTGGGTGTTGATGGCCGACGTGAGTCCAGTTAATTGGGCTGTCAAGTTTTCTATTAAAACACCAACATTTTCTGCCATAATTAATTTACTAAATTTGTTAGAATAGGTCTATCCCAATTAATCACTCACCTTTATAGAGAATCTGTCCTGTTATATATCCCTTTCAAGATGTTGGTAAAGTTCATAAATCCATGGACACACATTATTTTGTTTCCTATGACCTCTTTTTCCTGTGTTCTCCCAGGTTCGAAATCCTGGTCACGGCACCAAAAATATCCACGTGTGTTACACAATAATTACTCCGACACGTGGTATTTGAGTTAAATTTTATTTCTTGCCGTGGTTACACAAGATCCTGTTCAAGTCCACCCCCATCTCCCGCTTAAGTTCCTACTCCCCTCTACAGGCCTGCACTGCCTTGTCTAGCTCCCGAGCTCTAGTCTCCAACCACTCTCATGCTCTTCTCCCGCTACTCTCCTGCTACTGTCTATTGTCTTAGTATTAATAATACCAAAACACTTCAATTCTAACTAAGCCCCGATTGGATGACAATACCCCACCCCGCGAGGCATATAATTATCAAGGCACGTGCAAGCTCATGTAACCTTATCTCAGGGATCCCGATGTACTTTACCGTCCAGTATGCTATCTACTCTGATCGACGATCCCTCCCCAGCTATCTCGCTACAGTGGCTAGGTGCGTGAGGCACACCCTTGATATCTAAGGGCTACCAAACTGCCTGTCCATCACAGGACGTTAACCCTGGTCCAGTGCCTGACTTTTGACACCTGTTGTTATTGTTTCCAGAGAACCTGTTGTACTTTAAATTTCTGTTTTAAATTATATTCTCTAAATTGTATTTCTACTACCCATTTTGTTACACTGTACGGTGTAGGTAACTGGTCCTAGCTTCTGCAGAATAAGTCCACGAACCCATGATGGTTTCCGTTTTTGACCTCTGTAGTCATGTACCATAACCAAGTCTCCAACCTCCATTGTGCAATCTTTCTTGACATGTTGTTGAGTTCGTAATTGAACTGACTGTTTCAAATTTGGTCTTATAATGTCCAAACGAGTTCTGAGCTTCCTGCCCATGAATAACTCAGCTGGTGTGACCTTGGTCAAAGTATGAGGAGTTGTCCTGTATGACAATAGGAATGATGCCAGCTTCTGGTTTAATGTTCCTTCCTCATCTTCCAAGTTTTTCATACCAGTCTTAAAGGTTCTAACTGCACGTTCGGCTTCACCATTTGAACTTGGGTGGTATGGCGCTGATTTGGTATGCTTAATACCGTTTTTCTTTATGAAAGATTCAAACTCAGCCGCGACAAACTGAGGTCCATTGTCTGATACTACCTCTTTCGGTAGTCCATATGAGGAAAACATGTATCGAAGCGCGTTGATGGTGCTCTCAGCGCTCGTTGACGACATTCTTACAACATCCAGCCATTTGGAATGGGCATCCACAACGACTAAGAACATGTTGTTTAAGAATGGTCCTGCGTAGTCAATATGTACACGTTCCCAAGGCTTGTTCGGCCATAACCATGGGTTTGAGCGTGACTGTGGCATGTTTGGTAATTGTTTCCTACAACTTTCACACTTTGCCACCCTTGTTTCTATGTCCATATCTAAGTTTGGCCACCACACAAACAATCTAGCCAATGCCTTCATCCTAACCATTCCAGGATGATTAACATGTAACTCATTCAAAATGTCATCCCGGTATCGATCAGGAACAATCACTCGGATTCCTCTTAATAAACACCCTTCCTCTACCGTCATTTCCTCCTGAACGCGGTAAAAGGGAAGTAACTCATTTTCTGGCTTTCATGTGACCATCCATTAGTGACAAAATACATCACTCTTGACAAAACAGGATCATTTTTCGTTGCCATAGCAATCTGAGCTGCCGTGATAGGTAATTTGTTCAACTGAATTTTGTTCACCTTTGCGGCTTCCTGGTCCAATTCCGTACAATCCTCCGAATCGATAGGGAAACGGGATAAGGTGTCAGCATTCCCGTTCTGAGTTGTTGATCTATACTTGATGTCAAACTGATATGAAGACAACTGGATAGACCACCGTTGCAATCGTGAAGTTGCTAGCACAGGAATACCCTTCTTTGGACCTAGTATCAATGTCAAAGGTTTATGGTCCGTCAACAATGTGAACTTTCGGCCATAGAGATACTGATGAAACTTGCGGACCCCGTATATAATCGCTAATGCTTCCTTCTCAATTTGAGAATAGTTTTTCTCAGCAGAAGTGAGTGTGCGTGATGCGTATGCGATCGGTCGGTCATCGTTCCCAATTGTGTGAGAGATCACTGCTCCTAGGCCATACGAAGATGCATCAACTGCCAATGTTACAGGCTTTTCTGGGTCATAGTGAATCAATACCTCTGATGAGACTAACAGTTCTTTGATTTTCACACATGCTGAATGACAATCTACTGTCCAATTCCATTCAATTTTGTCAGCCAGTAGTTTTGTGAGTAGTTGTACAATGGTAGACATGTCAGGTATAAACTTCCGGTAATAGTTAACAATCCCTAACCATGCCTGAAGCTCCTTCTTGTTTTGAGGATCTTTTAACTGTAGAATAGCCTCAATTTTTTGTGGTGATGGGTGGATCCCTTCTTTGTTCACTACAAAAGCAAAATATTCCACCTCCTCTTTCATGAAGAAACACTTAGTTTTCTTTAGTTTGACTTCATAGTCATCTAAACGCTTGAGTGAAGCATCCAGATTTTGCTGATGGGTAACATCATCTTTCCCGGTTACAAGAACATCATCCAGGATACAACCGACACCATCCAATCCCTGTAGTACAGTTTCCATGGTACGCTGAAATATAGCTGGCGCAGATGCTACACCAAATGGTCTGGTGTACCTGTACAATCCAAGATGGGTGTTGATGGTCACATATTTTCTAGACTCTTCATCAAGTAGTACCTGGTTGTAAGCTTGAGTTAAATCCAACTTTGAGAATTTTTGTCCTCCGTTAAGCTTTGTGAATAGCTCTTCACTTGTTGGCAGGGGATATTCGGGTACTTCTAGCACCGGATTTATGGTAATCTTGAAATCACCACAAATTCTAACTGAACCGTCTGGTTTCATGACTGGCACAATGGGTGTTGCCCACTCTGAACTGTCCACCTTTTCCACTATGCCTGCATTCTCTAAACTGAGAAGTTCTGCACCTATCTGGTCTTTCAGCGCATAAGGTACAGTTCTGGCCTTGAAAAACTTAGGTTGGGCATTGTCCTTGAGCTTGATTGATGCTGTGATCCCCTTGACCGTGCCTAACTTGTCCTCAAACACTGAATATTTCTGTTCGTTGATAGACATCATGTTTATTGTTTTCCAGTTAAGTCGAAGTTGTCCTAACCAATTCCTTCCAAATAATGCTGGTCCATCACCTTCCACAACAAGCAATGGTAAAAGTTTGGTCTGTCCCTCATAAGACACTTTGACGTTAGCCTCACCCAACACTGGTAATACTTCACCAGTATATGTTTTCAACATTGTCGAGCTGTTTTGTAGGTTGAATTTTCCCTGGAATTTAGCTCCGAAATCCTTATCAGATATCAATGAAACTGGTGAACCGGTGTCAAGCTCCATCGTTTGAGCTATCTTTTCGATGTCAACAGAAATTCTTATTTCCTTTTGCCCTGTGGACTTTATAGAGAATATCGGCCATACTTCCGAAACATCCTCCTGGTCTGAATCCTCAATGAAATGAATCTTCGAACTCTTCTTATGTTTCTTTGAGTCCCCCTTTGTTGGCCTGGCTGAATCAGTATTACATCTAGTACCACCAGTACCTTGATTTTTGGAGTTACCAGGTTTATCTCTAGAGGTTTTGGATTTTGGGCATCTCTTGTGTAAATGTCCTACTTCCTTACATGTATGACACTTACTGTTCTTGTAGAAACATCTGTCTGCGCTATGATTAGACTTACCGCAGCGGAAACATTCTTTTGACGCTTGAAATTTGTGAACATTTTCAGCTTTATCCACTCTGTCACCCTTTAACTTCCGGGCCTCATTTTCAGCCATTTCCATACTCACTGCTATCTCTCTTGCTTTAGTCATTGTCAGTGTAGCTTCGGTTAGGAGTTTCCGTTGTGTAGGGATGGAAGACAAACCCGACACAAACCTGTCTCTCAATGCATCATCTAGAAATGCACCAAATTCACAATGTTCACTGAGCCGTCTCAATCCAGCCACATATTGACATACAGTTTCATTCGAATGTTGATTTCGTTGATAAAATTTAAAGCGTTCTGCTATAATGAGAGGTTTCGGCTTTAAATGCTGAGAAATGAGTGTCTTCAATTCATCATATGTTTTGGCGGAGGGCTTTGCGGGAGATGTGAGGTTTCGCACTAGTCCATACATTTTCTGACCCATAACCGTCAACAATATCGACCGTTGTTTGTGTGCTTCCTCCACTCCATTAGCTATAAAATACTGCTCTACTCTCTCTACATACTCATCCCAGTTCATTTCAAAATCGAATGATTCAATTTTACCGTACACTGCCATGATCGAGTTTACGTGCCCCTGTGCGTGAAAACTTTCGCCACTTGGCTGTCGGTGAATAATGGCTTTCTAGTATAATTACAGAGTTTTTGGTTTACCGTACTGCCGTTATCTTCAGCTTCGATGCACCGGAAATCCTCGTCGCCACTGAAATGTCCGAGGCAAGGCTTGTATTAGCTGATTTACAGGAACAAACGAGGAGCACATGGTTTCATGTTTATTCCAAAACGGCGGGCAGTCATCAACAACAATAATGAGCATGCGCAATACACATACAAATTGGTAACACTAAACACTGTTGGATAGAAACAGCAACCGCCCCAGACTAGTATGATTCTACAAACATTACAGATCTCATAAGTCAAAAAAGGGGACGCTTTCTCCACCCACACCCAGATATGTTAAAGTTAACAGCGCGGAGATTATCTGCAAACAATACATGGAGAAAGGGTTTTCTCGATCAGTGTCCAAGAGAGCAGCACTGTGCAGACGAAACAGCACAAACAGAACTTACAATAATAGACTCAGAATTTATTTTAACGGGGCCAGAGAAAAATATATTGATCCCTTGCAAGCATCTGAACTGGAGATAGCTGATTTCTTAGAGTACTTGTTTTCGATCAAGAAGTTACAAGTTAGAACTATTGCAGGATATAAATCCGCTATTTCTGCTGTTCATCCCGGCTGGGATGGAGTTAAGGTTGGTCACTCTCCGAGTTTGGAGAAATTGTTAAAAGCATTTTTCATTTCCCATCCTCCAAAGAGGAGACTAGTTCCTTCTTGGGATATTAGTATTGTTTTACATTCACTTTGTAAATATCCTTATGAACCTTTAGGTCAGACAGACTTAAAACATTTAACTTTAAAAACCCTATTCTTGATTGCTGCTGCTTCAGGTAGAAGAGTCAGCTGTTTACATGCCATGTCCATAGCAGATGGACATATCAGATGGGACAGAGACTGTGTTTCTATTATTCCATCTCCTGAGTTTCTCGCTAAAAATGATTTATTGAATTACATGACAAACAAAATAACACTTCCTTAAATGTCAAAATTTTCTTCTATAGTGGAAGATGAAATACTTTGCCCTGTGCGAGCTTTAAAAGTTTATCTCAAGGTATCAAAACATATAAGAGCCGGGTCAAATAAAGACAATCAGCATACTCCAGCATCTAAGGAGACGATTTCAAACTAGATTGTCAAAACCATTAAGTTGGCATATTCCAATCATAATTTGGAGGGAGTCAGAGCACATGATGTCCGGAGCCTAATTTCGTCTTGGGCTTTATTGAAAGGAATAGCTATCCAGGATATTTTGGAGGCCGCATCTTGGAAGACAGAGAGCACGTTTACATCGTTTTACATGAAAGATATGTGCAGTAAAACTGCGTTTGGAAAGTCAGTGCTGTCTTCGAGTCAGAGTTAGTCATTGTGACAGGTAATTAAAACAATACTTAATTTACTTTATTACGTTTTATTTGGGTACTTGTTTGCCCACCTCCTGTTTAGCTTCAAAATCTGTAGCTATCGTTAATACTCTAACAGGTAAGTATGGTGCGAAGGAGATTATAACTTTCCTTCGAAAGATTTATCTCCGAGCATCATACTTACCTGTTGGACTCCCTCCCATCCTCCCCACTTCGTATATATATTTGAAAGTTACTCGAATGAAGATGAGGTAACATGTGCTCACCGGAAGTAGGTGGCGTTGCGGTGGGGAGTGTCTAATTTTTGACTCGGCGATGGTAACAAATACACAACAATGAGTAGCTATCGTTAATACTCTAACAGGTAAGTATGATGCTCGGAGATAAATCTTTCGAAGGAAATTTATAGTCTCTTTCACTAGTGGAGTCCTGATGCTTAATGCCTGCCCTCGTCGAATTGACATGGTGTACTTTATACACGTCATAATAACCATCCGCATTGTAACAAAATGACTAAACACGGTATTTACTTGGGTTGACCGAAACGTTTATTTCATCGTATAGTGGTTTTCCATAGTTAATACTTTGCGTTAATATCCATTACAACATAGAGCAGCATGTCGTGGCACCAAAAATAAATACCTGTGTAAGGCAGACAAAAAATAAACACCTGCCCGTCCATATCAAAGAGTTCAATACAAATGTCCATGGGCCAATTTGTCAAGGGCCCGTCTCCACGTCTGACTCCCAACTCTCTCTAGCTACTCGATCCCAGACTCTAAACTCTTAACTCCGCTAGCTATTGTCT